ATGGGGGACAACAGTTGCGTAGTAGTTGTGTTTGTTTCTATTTCCTCCTAGTGGGCCTCAGATAGTGAGTGGAGACAGTCACCTCTGCCATGCATGGCTCACTGTCTTGGGTTTGTGTTGCAGGGATTGGAGACTGAGTGTCTTTTTTCCTTACTCTCCCTCACTACCCCATCACAGACAAGCTTGCTTTGGAGTTATGAGAGGGTGGATAAGTTCCATGTTCTCTGTGCCTCCTTTTCCCATTTTCTATCGTTCCTATTAAGACATTATCTTGATGTTTTCTTGCTATTTGGTTTTTGAGACAGGATGTCATGTATCCCAGGTTGACATTGAACTCATTATTTGGCCAAGCATGATCTTGAATTTCTAATCTTTCTACCTTCACCTCAAGACACTGGGATTGTAGGCATGTGATTCCGTGCTTGACTTCTAATAGGTACTGGGGATTGAACCCAGAGCTTTGTACAAGCACTCTCCCAACTACATCCCTATTTCCTAATGCATCACTTCTTGTTTTAGTTGATTATAACATTTTGATTGATTTTTCTTGATTAATTGATTGTATCTATGCCCAGGTGTACCACGCAGGTTCCAGACATTGAACTAAGATTATCAGGCTTTTTTGGCAATTGTCTTTGCCCACTGAACCATCCAGCCCTCCTCTTCAAAGCATCACACCTAACATAGCCTAGAGCCGAGATGATCGGAGAGATTGGCTTGCTTTGGTGAGAATATCACGAAGGGACGGATTTTGATATGTAAGTTCAATATTCTGTATTTTGCTAATGTGGGCAATAAGCAAAAGCTGCCATTATTTTGATGGTTACTGGAATGTGCATTTTCTCTGACCTTGACCAAGCACAGTCAGAAAGGAAAGGGGGCCAGGACTTGCTGGGCTTGTCATGATCTACTCACTTGACACCTAAAAGTGGTGGACACGAGCATTTTAAACAAATTGGCTGTTCCAGAACAGCCCCCAAGGTCACCTCTCTAGCGAAGCCCCTCCAAGCACTCAGCACATAGATTATGTCTGGGTATTGCTAGACTCAGTGTCAGTGAACAGGCATTGCTGTAATCCACCAAGCTAGTTATGTCAACCAGGAGGAATGTACTGTCAGTCGCTGTGCACAGATGTGGGTCATCCATGGGCTTCTCAACGTATTTCTTTCCCACGTTTCCTTGAGAAGACACAGCTTTCTAGAAGTGAGGGAACTGATGACTTAGCTTCTGAAATATGAGACAGGAAAATTAAGATAAGCAGGATTCTTTTGCCCTGCTAGCTACTTTTATTATTGAGCTAAAAATAGGAGAAAGGCAGAGGGGATGATGTTTTATAAATGAATGAGAGGTATTTTCAGTTAACCAACGGTTTCAGTTTAATGCTTTTAATTTTTCAAACTGTGTCACAGCCGCTGCTGCCGATACAGCGCAAGATGGTTTGGCACTTAGAATGTGGTGTGCAGATCTCCTGAGTGTTATAATTGAAATGAAAGGTGCACACGCGCACAGGTGCACACGCAAGTATGCATGCATTCTCACACACATGATGTATGTATGTATGTGTGTATATATGTATGTGGTGTTCTATGGGAGAGAGAACTTAGCTTAATGTATTTGTTTTGATCTCTAAACCACAGCCCTGAGCAATAAGCAACAGGAATGGAATAAAAAGAAAGGGAAAGAAGAAAGGAAAGGAAAGAGAAGGAGGGGTGGGAGGCAGGGGGCGGGAGAAAAGATAGAATAAAAAGAGACAAGAAAGACAGCTGGGCCATGTGCACTTTTAGAGCAAAACCCTCAACACAGCTCAGAAAATAACCCATCCTTTGTTGTCTGCTCTTCCTGTGCCAGGCATCAAGACTGCAGCCATGAGTTAAAACACCCACTAGAGTTGAATGAGTAAGAAGTTAAAAGGTTAGAGAGACTCTGCCACTGACAGCCACATGACCGCAAGCAATCCGTTTTATCTTTTTAAATCTTATTTTTCTCGTCTGCAAGAGAGGTGGCACAAGCCTCTTCAAAGCGGCTGTGCAGATGGGTGGTGGTGGCGCCCTTGGGTGTGGCCCAAGTGGAAAGGCCCTGGGGCTTCAGCTTCCTGGATGCTAACAGACTGCTCTAGGGAGGGTTAGCTCACTGTGCATCATCAGAGCTCAGCGAGCCCCATCAAACCCCACCTCCGTCGCCAGGAATCACAAGTCAAGGACTGAAGGAAACTAGAATAGGGCACCTCTACCTCCATCTTCCTCAGACAAGGTCCCCTGACAAGGAAACATGCCAACAGGAAAGGACAGAAAGGCAAGAATCATCTCAGCGTTGGTCAGTTTTGTGTGGATCTGTGTCGAATGTGGTGTGCCGCGGATCCAGGTAACGTCCGCTTCCAGGTGCTTTTCTGTGTTGCAAATCAGGGCTCGTATTACCCAGCTAGAACTGAAGCAACTGTGTTGCTCTCCGAGAAGTTATAGGGGATGAGTGGCATTATGGATTGGATGTGTGCAGTCCTGGGCATTAAATGCAGAGTCTTGTCGGGACTCTAGTAAGCACTCTGCTGGAGGGCATAGCCCAGCTCAGTCCTCTAATTTCCAATATGAGAGGCCAGTGTTCAGTCTGGACATAAATTGCACGCATGTCTCTGCTATTTCCAAACCCTCAGAGCGTCTTGCTGTGCTAAGTAGGTTAACCAGCTCCTTCTGCTTAGAAACTAGAGTTGATTATGTCGGGATGCCCATTATAAGCTTCTTGTGTGAGTGTATCCCTAACAATCCCCTAGGTACTAACAACCCCCCTCATGCTTACAATCCCCCAGGAACTACAATCCCCCAGTACTAACAATTCCCCCAAGTACTAACAATCCCCTCAGAACTAACAATCTCCTCAACACTAACAATCCCCTCAGTACTAAAAGTCCCCTCAAACACCAACAGTCCCCCAAACACTAGCAATCCCTCCAAGCACTAACAATCCGCCCAGCACACCCATTACTTGACTTTGAGTGTAGATTTTGCCTCTGATTGTATAAAAAAGACGATGTGCTCAGTTTTTGAAACTGATAAGTAAAATAAAAAAAGTGAGAAATGTTCAGCACACGTCTGTCCCGTGACACTCCCAGTTCCATTTGGGTGCATGCTGCTTGTTTAAGGGATGAGGTGGCTGTGTTGTAATCGACACTGCAGGCTTCTGAGAACAGCAATCGCCCCATTTTCATTGTCCCTAGAGTATAGGTTTGGGGGGGTCGTGATTGGAAGACCCACCACAGGATCCTGTGTTTGAGCATTTGGTGACCTGCTGGTGGCAGTTTGAGAAGTTTTTGGAACATGTCAGGCTAGGAGGAGATTTGGCACAGGGTTAGGGTTTGGTGCAGGATGGCCGTTCAGGGTTATATTATGATCTACCTCTGGCCGTAGCTCTGTTTCTCAGTCACCAATTGAGTATAAGGCATTTTACAAGCTCCTGTGGTCACGGACCAACCTGTGTTGGCCCCCATGCCTTCTCTACCATGAAACTGAGCTAACTGAACATACAGTTAAAGCCACTTCTGTCCAGTATCTGGTCACATCAATGACACCCATGTCAAAGCCACCATATTTTCCTAAAGCCATTTCTCTAGACAAAACTTCCAGGGACACACTATTTCCTCCTAGTCATCTGGACACAAGGCCTGGAGTCCTTTCACTATGATCTGGGGTGATTGCCAAAAGGGGAAAGAGATATTCGTACTGGAAACAATGGGTGTATGATACTTTGGGAGTGTGGCAGATTCTCAAAAGAAGGTGACATTTAAGTATGACCTGAGGCAGGTACAGGAGGCCACCAGCTGTGAGGTGACAGGTGGTGTGGCATTTCGGGATACACCTGCAGGATCTTGGGTTTGTCGTGACCCAAGCTGAGTCGATCAGGAATGAAAAGCAGGAGGGCATTACCTAGGAAGAGAGGGGACACAGGGAGGAAGGCAGGCAGGCAGGTCTTCCAGGCCCTTAGCAGGTGGCTTATTCTAGATGTGTGCAGTTTCTCCATCTCGTTCTGTTAGTCATCACGCTGGTCCATACTGGTTTTGAACACATCTCTGGGCTGTTTTGAAGACAAGGTCTCATGCGGCCCAGGGTTCTTTTGAATTCACTATGTAGCTTAAGGTGACTTCAACCCCTGCCTGGACCTCTCAAGGGCTGGGATTACAGGTAGGTGCCATGCCTGGTTTCTGGGGTGCTTAGGAGGAGCCCCCAGGCCTGGTGCATGCTAGGCAAGCATTGTACCACATGACTACATACTCAGTCCCAGCTATACCTTCTAATTATCTTACCCTTGTGCTTGCTTAAAAGGCTTCCTTGGCTCCATACTTTCTCTGTCCGCAGCAATCCACCCTGCCCCTCCCTACACTGACGTCTCTTCTCGATGAGTCTGCAAATGTCTACCAATGTTCCCCTCGGCACTTCATGAAGTTATGAAGAAATCAAGCCTTCCCCGAAGCACTCCATCACCCACCAAGTGATGGCTAGACACTCCGTCTAAGATTTACAGCAGTACCTGGGTGTGAAGCCTCACCTGAGATCCTTGCAGTTAGGAGGTTAAGGCATGATTCCCATGAGTTTGAAGTCAGCCTGAGCTACACGGTAAGGTCCTTTTGGCAAAAACCAAACAGCATCTTGTGGTGATATTTTGTTTCTGATCTAACAAATAAAGCTTGCCTGAATATCAGAGTGCAGAGATAGCCACACTAGTTAGCCATACAGGCTAGTCAGTGGTGGCGCACACCTTTAATCCCAGCAGCCACACCAGTTAGCCATAGAGGCTAGGCAGTGGTGGTACATACCTTTAAGCTCAGCACTCGGGAGACAGAGTCAGACAGATCTCTGTTAATTCAAGGCCACCTGAGCTACAGGAAACTGATCCAGTCTAAAAGAGAAACAGACTCACACAAAGGTGATCTCAGCACTTTAATCCCAGCACTACAGAGGAATGTAAGACAGGAGGAGACAGGAGCTCCGTGCAGTCTGAGGTTTGGTGGAGAGCGGTGCAGTCTGAGGACAGGATCGCCCTTCGGTCTGAGCATTGGTAGAGGTGAGAACTCTCTAGCGGTCGGTCACTTTGCTTCTCTGATCTTCAGCCCCAATGTCTGCCTCTGAGTTTTTATTAAGAACAATTATTATTTATGCTACAGCATCTCCTAGCCAAGACCCCACACGTCATCCTGCAGTCTGGATTCCGTCATGGTCAGCAGGTACTTTCCCTGCAGTTCACCTACCTACCCGGCCCAGCATTTCCTTCTTGCTTTACATCTTGACATCTTCCTCCCTGGCTCAGGCAACTCAGCATCCTCTCTCTGGACCTACTACTCAGACTTTGAAGAGAGCACGTGGAGTGACTCCAGCCAGCCAATCAGAGGCATTCAAGACTCCTCTTGAATCCCTGGAAAGAGTTGCCCTCTACCCTGGCGGATGTTACATTAGTGAGAAGCATGGAGCTGCTGCAGTCATTTTGCCCCCAAGCTGAAACTGACACTGCAGAAAGAAACTGGATCCCAGTAATGGGTACTGGGACTTATGGTATCAGCCACCAAGAAAATACCTTCCTTGTTGGAGCTAATTCAAGTGGGGTTTCTGTTGCTTGCAACCTAACTGTCTAAGTCTGTGCTGGGCATACCCTCTTTCGTGAAGCTGTGTTTTCATCACAGGGCTGGGAGGAAGGAGACAGTTTGTATATTGGTGACGTCCAGGAGGGAAAGGAAACAGAATGAGGGAAAGGGCTTGAGTGGGGAGGGCTGCTTGGCTGGGCAGGCCAGGGCTTCTTGACGGGTGCCGCTCACTGACAAACAGGAGCTGAGGCTGATGGGAAAGAACATTCTAACAAAGGGTGCCGCCATCACAGGGCCCAGGTTAGGTCGCTTGATAGATCCCAGAAACAGAAAGGAAGCATCATGGCAGCCACACATCTTCTGAAGATCTCAAGGCCTAATTCATGTCCCACCTCCTTCTGGGATGTTCCATGACTGGTCTCAGGTCCCTCCTTTGGGCTCCAGTGCTCCCAAGCTCTACCTGCTTTGCACTTCAAACTTCACATGCAAAATAGCGTACTATGTATCATCTTCATGTGTCTCTCATGGCTTAAATTTTAAAATTCATTTACGTGTGTGTGTGTGTGTGTGTGTGTGTGTGTGTGTGTGTGTGTGTGTGTAAGCTTGCCATGTCAAAGGAGTAGCGTTAGAGAACAACTTTCAGGAACAACTTTCTCCATCTATCAAGTGGGTCCTGAGGGTTGAGCTCAGGTTGTCAGATTTGGTGGCAAGCACGCTACCAACTGAATCGTTTTGCTTCCCCCTTGTCTTATGGTTGTATTACTTTTGGGTCTTGGAGAGCATCTCATATTTTGGGTTTGTTCATGCCAAAATCTTAGTGTGTGTAGTCTGAATTGCTCTGAGGACACCAGGTTTGCAGGTTGGCAGGTTGCCTCTCAGATGCACACGACACATTTGAGTGAAGCAAATAGACCTGGAGTATGCTTTGTGGTCAGACCTACTGCACGCTCACAATAGCCAAGTTATGGCGCCAACCTTGCTGCTAGAGTGGGTAAAGAACATGCTGTACGTCATACACACAGTTGCAGAAGGATGCAATTATATCCTCTTCAGGGAAATGGAGGTAACCAAGGTCATCACAGTAAGTGGGCCGGGTCCATCTGAGAAGGACCAACATGGCATTCTTCCTCTCACTGTGGGCCCTGGACATTACAGATGCATAATGCCATGTACACAGATATGCCATGAAATGGAAACTGTTTAGAGAACCAAAGAGTAGAAAAAGAGTAGCAGAAGTGGATACCAGCATCAATGGACATTGCTCATTTGTGTGAAAATGGCCTTATGCTAACCTCATATAATACAATTGGAAAATATGAAAGAAAATTGCACACCCACAAATTCATATGGTTTGACCCATGCTGTAACATCATTTTAAATGGCACCATAATCCAAAGCTACCACTCTCTCAGCTTCAGAAAAACTCTCTGTGGAATTGCTGCCCTGTGACCAAGCTGTATATCCTTAGTCACATGACTGCCCCTTAATTGGTGTGACCAGGAAATAAAAGAACCACAAGACACTCCAATGCACACAATTTAACATTCATCTTAATTTAGGTTTATGTCTGCATTCAGTTTTTAGTGGCATAGTAGGAAAAAGGGAGGGTTACTCAACCTGAGTGACCTGGTCTAGAAACTCCCGGCCACACCCTTGCTTCTTCTTTAATGAATAGGAATTGAACCCAGAGCTGGAACAAGTGTTCTGTCATTGAGCTTTGGCCTTAGATCTATTTATTTATTTTGAGAAAGAGTCCACTAAATTGCTCAGACTGGCCTTGAACTTGCGCTGTAGCTTAGGCAGGCTTTGAATTTGGACTCTTCCCGCCTCAACTTCTTGTGCCACTAGACCTAGCTCTTGGACATTTTCATTTCATTTTCTTTCTTTTTTGAAACAAGTTCCATGTAGCCCAGGCTGGCCCCAAACTCACTGTGTAGCTAAGCTTGGTCTTGGACTTCCAGTCTTCCTGCCTCTATCCCCCAAGAGCTGGGATGACAGGGACAAGCCACTTTGAGGGAAGTCATACTGCAATTCCTCACCCCGGAAGAAGCACCTGCCCTGCACAGAGGCTGGGAACTTGGTGGCAGAACTGTGCTCCAACCATGTCTGGAAGAAGGCTGCCTCAAATGATCTGCCAGGGCTAGTGCATCCCCACATGTGACTGCCAGGGTCTGTGTGATTACAGTCTTGCCCTGGGCAGGGGCTGTCTGTGTGAAGCACACATTTCATCATCACTGATATTTTCATTCAGGCCAAGACACTCGTGCAACTCTTTGACATGAGTTTTTTTCCACCTATAAAACAAGGACCTGACCCTCAAAGACTTCTGAGGTCATTCTAAAAAAAAAAGCCAAGTAGCTGACCAATATACACACATATGCACACACATGTACACACACAGGCGCACACACACATACAAACACACAAGCATGCACACACACACACACACACACACACAGTCCTTTTATCATGGATTTGATTTTATCATAATTCCCCATGGACCATTTCTATGCTAGTTGCTTTTAAAAAATGGAAATGAATCTCCATCCAAACAACATACATTTGGGAAACAACTTCATTACAGTTCAACGAAATTTCTTCATACATGCCAAAGGCACCGAGAACGGCAACTTGAAAGTTCTTAAGAAATCACTTTGCATTGAGTTTTTTTTAAGTAAAAAAAAAGTATCAGAGTGATTTCTTAAGTGGTGAAATTCCCCCTTTTGCCCTTTTACTAGAATTTCTAAAATAGCCTAAATGAAATCTTACTCAATGCTCTACAGGAAAATATACCTTTAGGCTGAGAGGCAGCATGAATTTCATCCTAAAGAATTATTTTTGGGGGGATGGGGCAGGGTGGAGTTACAAGTGCCTAGAGACAGAGGCTTCTAATTAAATTGCCCTCTCAGCCAGAACTGCAGAATATACACTACAATCACCACAACTGGCTTTAAATCTGGGACGGAATGATAATTTTGTGAGTTCAGAGTGGATTTTTTTCAAGTGTGGCTCGTAGTGGCTGGAGAGTTTCTGATGACTTTTCAAGGTTTTCAAGTGTGTGTATTTGCTGAGGGACCAGGGGACTTTCAGTGAGTGCATAAATAAGAAAGATTTTACTGTCTCAGGAAGTCTGAGGCTGTCCCAGATGAACCAGAAGACCTAGGGTTGTCTTTCTGGCTCACAGATGATGAGAAGCCCAAGGCAAAGCGTGAAGCAGGAAGTTTGGAACAACTGCCCATCAGTAGATGGGTTTGCCCTTCGTCACCTCCACACTGGCGACAAAAGCTGGGGAGTGAACATGGAGAGAAAGGGGGAAGTGGTCATGGTTGATGTTTAAACACTCTTTAGTATGTTTATGTACACCCGTGGTGCACATGGGGGTCATGATGGATGTGGAAGTCAGGGGACAGTGTTCTCAGTAGTCCATTCTCTCTGCTCCATAATATGGATCCCAGGGAGTAAACTCATGTCATCAAGTTTGGCAGCAAGTGCCTTGTGCCTTTACCTGAACCATCTCACCAGCCTGTATTATTTTGGGTGGGGTCTGATGTAGTCCAGGCCGGTCTGGAAGTCACTACATGGCCAAGAAAGGCACTGAAGTCCTGCTCCTGTTTCCTGATCCTTCCATGGCCCAGAACACAGGTGTGTACCACCATAACTGGTGTGGCGGTGACCCTTGGCAGGCAACAGGATTGGATGGAAAATGGCGCACCTCTCTCGTATCTGTGAGGGACTGACTGACTATTCTAGAGACAGCTGGCTCTGGAAGACTTTGACCCAAGAATGACGGGTGATGTGGAACTGTGGAAGGTGGGTTTGGGATGGAGGAGGTATTTCTCTTGGGGTGTGCCCTGGGGCCTCTGTCCGTCCTCTTCCTGTTCCTTCTTTACGGTGCCTCCTGTCTGGCACAATGGTGAACATCTCTGCCAGCCTGCCACCCCTGCCCCCTATCACTGATGGAAACCCCCGAAACTGAGGGAAGTAAGATTTCCTCCCTTAAGTTTTTCTTGTCAGATGTTTTGTCATAACAACAGGAAAAGTACCCAGGGTGCAGTGCAACCCACGATACTGCCTCAGCTACTGCTAAGGTGGAGCTAAGTCCCAGGCACAGAGACCGTCTACTTATTGGTTAGTTCCCTAGCTTCCACTGAGGTCTCTATCTTCAGTCATGTGATGATTGAGGGAGTATGAGGCAGGAGAGGTGGGTGGTGTCAGTTTACATTTTTTCCAGGAGCAAATAGCAATGGATAGACACACAGGTGCTATGTAATTTAAGTTTCAGTGAAAGCTGTGTTGGAGATTTATTTTGATGTTTACTGGGATCCAGGACACAGTGGCCACTGAGACTTTGGGCACCGACCCTTGAAAGAGATGTTTGAACTGGAACCTTAAGGATGAAGGGGAACTTGCCAGGAAAAGACAGCACTGTAGGAGAGGTGCAGATGAGGGACCAGTCTGTGTTGGTCCCAAGGTCAAAATGACATTGGCTTTTTCAAAGGGCAAAACAGGAAACCGTTTGTCTAGAACAATGGTTGCCAAAGTGTAACCCACAGGGTGACAGGAACCTCTACAAAGTGACTTCAAGTTTTCACGAGAGTAGATGTTTAAAAACACAAAAATAGTGGAAAGAAATGACAAAAAAGCCAATTGCCTCCTCAGACCTCAGAGTACATTGTAAAGCTGATGTGAAATAAGGGCTGTGTAGATGGAACTGATCCACACAAGGATATTGGCAAAGGGTGTCTAAGATATTTACTTAGAGAGTGCAATCACTTACATCAGACTGGGTCAGTGTCCTAAGCTCTCCGAGCCTCAGCCAGGATCCCAGAGAGAGCTGTTACTTTCTTTCTCCCCTCTCTTGCCTTTCTCACATCCCTCTGTCCACGCCCCAAATGGGTGTGGCCAGTACCTCAGGTTCCTGAGATCTCCCCCACAGGGTTATATGGGCATGAGAAGGCGCATGCCTTTAATCCTAGCACTCGGGAGGCAGAGGCAGGCGGATCTCTGTAAGTTCGAGACCAGCCTGGTCTACAGAGGGTGTTCCAGGACAGCCTCCAAAGCCACAGAGAAACCCTGTCTCGAAAAACCAAAAAAAAAAAAAAAAGAAAAAAAAAAGAATGGTCAATGGAAAAGAAAAGGGAGTGTAGGAACCGTCTTCCATGTGAGAATTTAATATACTTTCATATCAAATGAGCAGTTCTGTTAGTTGGGAAGGCAAATTATGAGAGAACAACAGCAATGTAACTGGCTACCTCTCTGAAATCAAATACCCTTCTGCAAGAACACATCCCCAGAACCTGCAGCATTAAGTGTGAACAGCAGTTATTACAGCAATATCTAGGAGAGCTCACAGACAATGTAGAGACCAAGGAAACTGTTTAAGACTGAAAAACACAGAGGCCATTAAAAGAACATATTAAAAGTTTATATGTTCCCATAATACATGCAATTATTATTTGAAAATCAAGATAAAAAATTTAAAATCTACACACCATCGGCATGATAAATGGTATT